TATTTCTTGTTCTTCTCTCTCTCTCTCTCTCTCTCTCTCTCTCTCTCTCTCTCTTTCTTCCTTTTTTCTTCTCTTTACAGACGCAATCGACTGCTGCGACGCAGAGTTGCGAGTCGTGCGCGCGTATCGGACCGTATAGATCGAATTGCGGATTCCATTTCACCACTCCACCACGTACGTAAGTATGTATACGCGCACACACGCGGGGTGGATGCAGAGGTAGACGAATGCGAATTGCGAAGTTCGTCGTAGTCGATCTCTGTCGCACGGGGGACCGGAGGCAATTTTACGCCGCGCTGCGCTCATCTTCGTCGGCTGTTAGGCACGAACGCGATACCGCGGCGCGTCGTCGCGACGAACGAGGAGGAAGTAATACCCATTTTTCATCAGATGAACTCCTGAGCCACGCTAAAATCTCTGTGCACACGTCTGAATTTCTTTCCAACCCTGTCGGCTCGAGTCTGGCGCAATAAAGAAAAAAAAAGATCCTTTCCGCGAGACATTAATAAATGAAAGATGAGAAAAAAAAAAGAGAGAGAGAGAGAGATATAAATGTTGAGAGTTGCCTTGATACGGAATACGGAATTGACGATACGAATAATAACATCGTGTCAGATATCTGATATTTTACGAAACACGATTCGATCGTATCGATTCTGCATTATCTGACGGTATCGGATTTCTTTTAACGGGCAGGCGCATCGACGTAGATACGCCTCTCGAGATGTGCCTCTGTATTTTCGGAGATTTTTTTTTTTATTCAACGGAGACCCCTCTCTCGATAATGCAACGGAAGCGCCGCGGATCCGGTAAAGCTCGAGAGAAATTACGCTCTTACCCTTCCCCCCTGCTTCGATCATCCCCGCGTCCGGTATATCTAGTATTCGTATATATATATATATATATATATATATATATTCCTTGTCCCGCGGGATAATGTCACGGTAAACGCGACGCGACGCGGCGATTCGTGCTCATAAAACCCATCGCGATGGTGACCCACATAATGGATATATAGCGGGGTGGTACAACGCGCCGTTCTCGTGTCCCGGATGGAATACCGACGTGAGGCGAGGGATCACCGATGGCGTAACGACGATGATTTTACGACGCGATGAATTCGCGCGTGTCGTAATACAGCTTCTCCGACGCCTCGAATCCCCTCGCGCCCTCGAATCCTCGTGCCTGCGATTTTCCCACGCGGGGGTTTCCCTTTTCTATATTTCCGCGTGCCTACTTTCTCGAATTCCCCCTCGTTTACGATTTCTCGAAACGTTTGATCTTCGCGTATTTGAATTTTTCAGTTTTTATCGCATTTTTGAATTCTCGAATCGTTTGATTTTTGCTCTAAGCGCATTTGAATTTTTATGTAATCCTCGAACTTTTGAGTTTTTATCACATTTTCAAATTCCTCGCGTTTACGCGACAACGCGGTTCCTCGTTCGGACTTAAATAAACCTTTCAACTTTTCAAAGTTCCTCGCCGTTCTGTCGCGCCCGCGCGAACGGGAAAAGAGCCTCACACCTCGGAGTGACTCGTAGGAACTGTAATTAGCGCAATTAAAACCGTCGGCGTAGTTTCGCCAATAGTTTCGTGCCATCGTCTCGTCCCCCTTTCATCGCCCGCACTTCGCTATGTCGGACCGGTGATTCGCCCTTTATTTTCCACTCTCTCCTTACCTCTCGTCGTCGTCCATCGTTGCCGTTGGATCGCCGTTCGTCGCCCATCTCTCTCGGATCTCACGATTTCTCGAATACGCGCGTGGATGCTACGCGAACTCGATTCCATCCCGGGCCCCCGGGGCCCTCCCCATCCCCCGTAACTTCCGACCGAGCGAGATCTCTCTCATAGGCGGGCGTGTGTGTGTGTGTGTGTGTGTGTGTGTGTGTGTGTGTGTGTGTGTGTGTGTGTGTGTGTGTGTTATTTCTTCTTTGTTCTATCGTCGATCCCCGGCGATCGAGCACTCTTCTACTATTGATATGTCTGCTTCTCGCGCGGTTTCGTCGTCTTCCCGATCGTCCGTTCGTTGTTCGCACGCTTATCCGTTCATCTCGTTCTCGTTTCTCTTCTTCAGGGAGAACGGACGCCGCTGCTGCTGATGCTGATGCCGATACTGCTGCTGCTGCTGCTGCTGCTGCTGCTGCTGCTGCTGTTGCTGCTGCTGCTGCTGCTACTGCTGCTGCTGTCAATGCCGATGCTGATGCTTCTGCTGCTCGACGGGGCTAGGACGGCGGCTCGACGGCCGACCACCGATCCAGCGGCGGCGGCGGCCGGGAGCTAAACGATACCTCTGACGTCGTGCTGAATGTGAGGCAGAGTAGTGAGGCCGGTCAATAACAGGCTCAAGATCAGGAGTACCCGGGTCGCGCCGGAGTCGGCGAGACTCGTGCTACCGCACGTTTCCTTGGAGCCGACCTCCAATTTCGCTGTAACAGAATCGCGGGGCACCCCGCGACGGCGATCTTAATAAACAGGGCTCCGAATTGCGGGGCGGGCAGACTCGAGGGCGAGGAAGGGATGCGGGAAGGGATGCTCCGATACTTCGCCGCCGATGTGTCGTCGGTGTGTCTCAGTCATCGAGGACATTATTATCGCGTCACCGTTGCAATATTGATGGAAATCATACGTACATCGAATGTAACGCATGTCAGTCTGTGCTTTTGCGATTTATAAAATGATTGATACGTCTGTTTTATCATGATTACGGTGTAATTACTGCAGCAGGTGGCAGAGACTGTGAATAATCGGAAGCTGTAGCGCTCCATCGATTTTGCTGCTATTTTACGCGATGTTTTTTTATAAGTAAGATAAATATCAACAAGCATCGTGAAGTACGGAGTACTACTACTGATCGATTTCTGCCGGAACCTTAATTATTCGGATATATAAACTCCTCGATTGGTCGCATGGAATCGATATGAAAGTCGACAGATACATTCCTTTATACATAGACATATATTTGTTTTATTTCTTTTACAAGGAAAAAGAACGAAGAATTTGAACACATGAAATAAACAGATTTATATCATACGATCGATTAAGAGTTAATAATCACGAATAGTTGTAATAATTGTGATTATTGGAGGATACGTAATAGCAAATTTAATGAGAAAATAATTAAAAATCTATTTTTGCGAAATATCTTGGAAATACGATCTCTCTAAGCAAAATTCTCATTTGGAATAATTTATTTATTAGTTGTTAAATATATTTAACAACTAATTTTTATAAATCCTACAAATGCTGTTAACTTTAATTAATTTTATATTCGATTGTTGTTCAGAACTTAAATATACATAAATATATTTTTTACAAAAATTTTATTAGTTTTAAATATTTCTTAACAATCTTAAGAAAATTAATAACGCAAATTTATGATTTATATTAGAGATATATTTTTGTATATCTCTCTTTCATTCCCAAATTTTCCTAGTTAAATATACAAACATACGCATATTCTTTTAAATCTCCCTCAAGCAACATCGAATCTCAAATTATCTCGAACTAAATATGTTTAAAAATGAAAGCATGAGCTAAGATTGCACATGACGAAAAAAAGCACTGTGTAATATCTTTCGAGACTCAATCCTTATCCTTTCATCCGCCAATATCGGCGAGACAGGCAAATTTCGCAGCGTGCGTCGTAAGATCGACGCGTCGGAGAGACGCGAGGGAAGGGGAGGTAGCAATGTGAGATAAGAAGACCGACGGTACTGGTACCGAAGGGGGAGGGGGGGGGGAAGGGGTGGCTTCTCGATCGCGCGCGCGTTCGCCTTGGCGCGGCGAAACAAAACGAACAAGTGGAGAGCCGAGTAAACGGGGGTAGTATACCGGACTAGCAGCACACGCCAGGGGGTGGTTGTGGTGCTGGTGCTGGTGCTGGTGACGGCGGCGGCAACGGCGGCGGCAACGGTGGTGGATGGTGGTGGTAGCAGGAGGGCAGGCAGGCCGAAGCAAGGCAGGCGGCAGGCAGGCAGGCAAGCAGGGCGCGGATCGATGCCGCGGGTAACTCGCGCCGAGTCCGCGCGAGCTTGCACGTGCGAGCTTGTACATGCCGTGTCGCCGCCGCCGCCGCCGCCGCCGCCGCCGCCGCCGCCGCCGCCGTTGCCGCCGCCACCACCTCCGTCGCCGCTGGCGAAGAAATATCTCAATAACGTCGCGAGACGCCGGTCGTTTAACCCCCTTACCCGAGACTCTCCCCCTCCTCCCCCTCGCCCCGCGACCCGCCGTCCGCCGTAACGTCGAACGTTTACCGCGAAACCACCAACCGATTAACGCTTGAGAATACGGGTGACACGAGACACTTCGGTAAATCGCGCGCGTGTACGGATTGCCGATCGATCCTTCTGTTTCGTATGTCACTTCGACGACGTCGAAAGAGAAAAACGAAACGCGACGTAAACTGCCGTAAACTGACTTCCGATTTCGGATTTTTTGTGTTTCATCGGTCGTCCGATGAACGCACGCTGGCATTCGGCGACGAAAGGTCGCATCCGAGATCGGAAAAAGTTGCTTTTCTATTTTCTTTCTCCTTTTAAAGCGCATATCTAGAGTTCTTATAATTGCACGAAGCGCACACAATGGTGTTTTATAATCGATTCGCGCAAGGTATAGGGGATGCGTATATTTTTATATGTCCAATTTGTGCTTCCGTTTTCCGTTCCTTTGACATTGCCGATAATCGTCGATGAGTTTATTTTCCGAAAGTCTAAAGTTAATATTAAAAAAATATTTACTTCACAAATAGAGCGAGTATTTATTTATTAATAACGTGACGGAATTAACGTGAGAGGCATCCCTCAAAGGTTTAAGCTTCATTAGCTTATTGTCTAGAAAAGTTTTTCCAGAAAACTTTTTTCTAACGCTCGTATCTTTAAAATATCCTGAAAAAATAAAATTTTGCGATCGTCTCCCTATTGCAAGCTTTTTTAACGCAGAAACAAAAGTTGATAATTCTAAATAAATTTTTAACTCTCAGTCAGGACTGGGGATATTTTATAATGAGAATGTAAACAGAAGGATACACATGTGCGTGATATGCTTACACACATTTTAAACTTTTATTCCCTTCCATTTACAGAGAACTCGAAACATGCAATATAATTACGATATAAAAAATACAATATGTAAATTAAAAGTAACGGAATAAATTAACCTTCAAAAATATTTTACTAATGCAATATAAAAGAAATATAGATTATATAATTTATATATTTCTTTCGCAACTACTTTTGCAACAAGCAATGTATTTTCTACGCGATTATATACTTGTAATACTCATTTGTACCACTAGTATATGATATTAAGCGTCGTATGTACAAACCGATAAAATAATATCGTCCTTCTAATATGACAAATTTAACGCTAATGACATCGTGTGACGTCTCCCGACATTTCTCGCGCAAGAAATGTTTTACCTTTCGTCTCCTCACACTTAGCTTATATACAAGTTATATGAAATTTATGAGAGTTCGTTATCGCGAGCCCTTTCTCGTCCCGACCACCCTCTACCTTCCCGACGTCATTCTCCTCGTCGCGACGCGTCGCGACGGGGTGGACGGCGGGGCATAACGATAGAAATCCTCTGCCTTTAACGAGGACGATATTTTCGTTTGCACGCGACATAGGGAGAAAAAAAGGGGGGGTTTTCAC